GAAATCCCCAGCCCAAAAGTAATCTTGATGAGTGCCAATTTATCTATTTTTTCCTTTGGTTGCTTATACTTTTTTTTAAAGAGTAGGAAAAATTTATTGAGAGAAAGAAAGCTTCTGTCTAAGACAGACAGAAGGGGGACCAGAAAGTGGGTTGCCTGCTCACTTCACTTTTCAAAAATGTTTTTATACAGCAAAGCCATGTGGTGGGACAGGTACAAAATGGGACAAAACTGTAAGACTATACTTTCAGTATCATACCTAATAAACTGTTGTCGACTTTATGGTTAAAAAAACAAAACAAAAGGATTTACACCTAGCTGGGTGTGGTGGCACACACCTGTAATCCCAGCAGGCAGGAGGATGGCAGTAAATTTGAGGCCAGCCTGCTCTACACAGTGAGACACTGCCTCAAAAAATGAAACAAGGACTGGGGGTAGTGTGCCTCTTGTAAGTTCAAGATCCTGAGTTTGATCCCAGGTACTGGAAACAAAACAAAACAAAACAAATCAAAAAACACCATAAAATCCTTTTTCTGTAATGTAGCACCTCAGTGAGCTCTGTGAGTTGCTTGTTGAATTATCAAAACAGTGATTTTGGGAACCACATGAACTTGCAACTAGTGTCAGAAGTGAAAGAAATCTTGGGGGCTGCTAACTTTGTTGTTGGTTCTTAAATTCCTATATCAACTATGGAGTTAATACTTTCTGGAAAGAAACATAAAGTTAAGGAAATCACCAAGAAACTAGAATTAGAGAAAGATATGAAAAATGGAAAATAGAAAATTAAAATTAGAAGACTTTCATCTGGAAAATAAAAAAAAAGCAAGTAGAAACAGGTTAGAAGAAATCACAAAAGAAAATCTCATGGAATCACAGGTTTATTTCCAGACTGAAAGGGCCCAGTAAACACCCAGCACAATGAATGAGTATGCCATACCAAGGCACATCATGGCATTTCAGATGCCAGGCATAAACAGAAAGAAAAAATAGAAGGGGAAAACAGTTCATATACAAAGAATTAGACCAGCACTTTGGGAGACTGAAGCAAGAGGATCATAAATTTAATGCCAGCACCGGATCAATTTAATGAGACTGTCTCCAAAAAAAGACTGGGGATGTAACTTAGTGTGAAGGCCCTGAGTTCAATCCTCAGTACTGAAAAAAATTAGAAATAAGTTCAAACTAGTTAACAAGAGAACAATATAATACTCTCAAAATTCTGAATGAAAATAACAGCCAATGCAGAAGTCTATATACAAACTATCAATTAAGTTTATGAGTAAAATAAAAGTATCTGTAGACATCTAAAACCCTTAAGGCCGGGCGTGATGGCTCACGCCTGTAATCCCAGCACTCGGGAGGCTGAGGCAGGAGGATTGCTATGAGTTTGAGACCAGCCTGGACTACAAAGTGAGGTCAAGATCAGTCTCAACTACATAGTGAGACCCTGTCTCAAAAAACAACAAAACAAAACAAGAGGGCCAAGGATTTAGCTCAGTGCCACCCCTGCCTGGCAAATGCAAGGAATTGAGTTTGATCTCCTGTATCACAATAAATAAATAAACAAATAAATAAATAAATAAATAAATAAATGTAAGTTCCCAGATGGTGAAAGGAAATACCAAAGCCAACAGATGCAATGAGATGCAGTATTAGTATCTTGCAACAGGATAATGAAAGGTTCTGGGAAGGAACTCTCTAAGAAAAAAGAATATTACAGCTTACCAGGTTTGTCTGAGGTTAACAAGAAAATTTAATTTTTTTTATTTTTTGGTGTTTTGCTGTTTCTTTTGAGATAGCGTTTCACTATATAGTTCAGGCTGCCCTTGAACTCCCTATGTAGCTCAGGCTGGCCTTGAACCTGTAGCAATCCCTCCTGAGTGCTGGGATTATTAGTATGTGCCACCATGCACAGCCTAAGAAAAGTTTTCGGTTTTGTTTTTGTTTTTGGTTTTGGTTTTGGTTTTTTGAGACAGGGTCTCACTATGTAGTGAGACTGACCTGGAACTCACTATGTAGCTCAGGCTGGTCTTGAACTCACAGCAATCCTCCTGCCTCAGCCTCCCGAGTGCTGGGATTACAGGCATGCGCCACCACACCCAGCCTTCAGCTGTTTTAATGTGAGGGAAAAATTAGTGATAAATATACAGAAACTAAGGGGGAAATAAACAAGATAATCACAAACTCCATGAAAATACTAAAAAGTGGTAAAATAAACTCTGATAGTATGTGACTCAGCTGTAATAATATTATGAATTCTAGAAAATAACTTAACCAGACTTTGTAATACAACTGTATTAGGGAAATCAAGGTAGGGAATGGGGAAGAGTGCCAGTCTTCCCCAGTAGGAAGTCATTAACTAACTTCTCAAACAGAAAAAAACAAAAGAAGTTTAGGAGTACATTTGGAGATACTGTACATGGCAGAAGGAAAAACAACCGCAATGGGACAGCTGCTACCAAGAGCTAGCAAGCACCAATCTACGTGGGGACAGAGGTGTTACGAAGTCTTTAGAGGTACTAGAATTTCTGGCGGCTACTGTCACCTTTAGGGAAAGACAAAACTGGCAACACTAGAAGCAGTCAGAATTTTCAAACCCAAGAGTAAATTTGATTTGAGGGCACTGAGGAGTGAGGAGACGCTGTAGACCAGAGTGGATTAAAACAGTTTAAATATGTAGATTCCTTTTTCTAGGTGTAGAACATCTGGGAAAGTAGCAAAACCTGATAAAGGATTAATACAATAGTAAAGACTTGAGTAAATTAAACAGTTTAATCGAGAGAATAATATGACTCATTTTATTCTAGAATAAACATGCATTTATTTTCTCTCTGACTGGCTCACTGGGGGTTAATAAATGTTATGTAAGGTCACAATTCTGGTAAAGAAACAAAAAACATAGCTGGGCACGGTGGTGCACACCTGTAATCCCAGCACTCAGGAAGCTGAGGCACGAGGATTGCTGCAAGTTCAGGGCCAGGCTATACTACATAGGGAGTTCAAGGCCAGCTGGAACTATACAACTAGACCCTGTCTCAAAACAAAAACAAAAACATAAACAGTTATTTGACTTCAAACAGAAATGTACCCCCAAGAAATTCCATGTAATTCACCAAGAAGAGTATCAGCAACTAGCAAGCCCCTCCAAAGAATAAACAAGTCAACAAGACAGTGCTTGTGCTTATGGCAGATTGAGCTTTCCAAAAACAGCCACAGCAGTATCTCCAGTCACACGTGTTCTTCCAGAACCTTGCAACCCCTCAAGAGGTGAAATCTTTGTTCAGAATAGAACTCTGCCTACCTTGAGAAACAGAAGGCAACAGACATGACAGTGTGCGCCTGCCACAGCTCAGTCCTGAAAGGCTGCATAATTCCTAGGTGCTCCTCAGCTTCGTGGAATGTCCACTCTGAACCCAGATACCACACTATAAAGAAGCCCAATCAACCTTGTGGAAAGATCGTGTGACAAAACATACAGAAGGGGTGAACTGGAGCCTAGTGTGGCCCATGTTCATGACCATGAACATCAACATCATACATGCTCACTGTATGCCACTGAATTTTAGGGTAACTGGTTATACAGCCATTAATAACCAATGAGTGCTCAAGTATTTTAAAAGCCAATGAGGGCTAGGGGTATAGCTCAGTAGCAGAGTGTGTGCCTAGGATGAACAAGTCCCTGGGTTTGACTCTCAGTATGCCACCTCCAAAAAAAAGTAGAAAGAGAGAGATAAGTGAGGACACAAATAAGTAATACACATTAGATATGTTGGGCCAGGGATTTAGCTGAGTGGTTCGGTGGCCTGCCTTGCAAGCGCAAGGACCCAAATTCAATACCCAGAACCAAAAAAAAAAAAAGTAAAACCTCACATTAGATATGTTAGTAGGATGTGATAACACAATATATAAAGTAAGGGGCCTGGGAGAGAAATGCTGTGAGGCAGGACTAGATAGAACATTTTCTTTTCTATTTTGATCTTTTGAGATAGGGTTTCACTATGTAGTTCAGATTGGCCTTGAACTCACTATGTAGACCAGGCTGGCCTCAAATTTGCAGTGATCCTCCTGGTGCAGCCTCTCAAGTGCTGAGATAACAGGCATTCATCACTAAGCCAACTTGCCATAAACAGAACTTTGTTCGTTTGGTACGGGGGATGGGGATCAAACTCCAGTCTTTGAGCTTGCGGGGCAGATGGCAGAACCACTGAGCTAAATCTCTGGCCCCATAGACAGAACTTTGAAAGGAAATAATAATACAGTAAAAGGTAAGATAGAACTTGGTGATGAAGTACATATCATATTGACCTTAGAGATGAAAATTCATAATTTGTAATATGTGAACAGTATCCAACTATTTTCAGCACATTGTAAGAAACATTATTTATATATAAAGAAGCTAGATTTCTAGAGACTGACTTAAATCATAAGAAACTATTAATATTCTTGTTGTTTAACTTCTACACAAAGAGCAAGGGCTGAGCCTAAGAAGGAAGCTACTCATCACTGCTTCCTTCGATGTACTGGCCAAGACAAAAATCAGTCGCTTGCTTGCTCAATGCTGCAGACTCAGTATCATTTTAATGATAGCAATTCTCCATGATTAGCATTCTTTGGATTTCTAGCAGTGATTTTCAGGGAACCTTTTGTCGCAAACCAAAATGAAGAGCCAGCACCTAATAACAGTCATAAAGAGCTAAGTAAAGTCATGAGCCACTCTGATTGCTGAAATTTACCCCCAACTTCTCTGATAATGACAAGATTAAGTCTATAGGCATCAGGCTGATGAGCAGGAAATAATTATTACTTACCAAAATAAAGGAAAGAATTTGGCTCTTTGATGATCTGTCCAAGCAGAAGCCTGAAAGGAGGAATTCTGAGCCGCTTGCACAATGACTTACTTTTGATTGGGGCTCTCTCCGACTACACAAGGCTTTCTGTTCAAGTGCTCAGGTAGGTAATGCTGAAAAGCTCAAAAAACTTTAGGTTTTATGCTCTCCTCACCTCATAAAACTTTTTCAAGGCGCTCACCAGACACATCTTTAGGCTATCCACAATCTCCTGATGAGGCATCTGGAACACCACTCGTGAATACCATTTAGTGAGGGTCCTAGGGTGGGCCAGTGCAGAGAGAGGAGAGAGGGAAATGAACAGATATTCACAGAGGAAGGCCCATGGTCTACATGTCATTACACATGCCAGGTTTCTCTCTGAATCAACCCAACAAACATCTAGAAATTGCATTTATGTTATATAAGAACATGAAGTGATGTGGGAAAAGATATTCAGGCTGTATGAAGAACACACAAAAAATGTATAAATACGGATATTTGCTATGAAATTCCCTCCAACAGAAAAATTTTATTTAGCCACCAAGAAAGAATTACTTAAATAACAATAAAGCATATACTAAATTCTTTGCAGCAGCTAAAAAGAATTGACATTTATTGTATTGATATAGGAAAATATTCACAATATAAAGTGCATAAAACAAGCGGATAACAGCAAAGTAATATCTCATTTGTAAAAATATACATGTGTATATCACATACACACATATACAACCATATGTAGCATCACATTTCAGTCAAGGACACACTGCATATATGATGGTGGTCTTATCACTTCTCAGACTTTTGACTAAGATCAAGTGCAGTATGATGGTGGTCTCAAAATTTTATTGCCTAATAATGTTATGGCCATCTGAGTTTGTATAAGTATACTCCTGTGATGTTCACATAGTGATAAAATCTCCTAAATGACATATGACTGTATACATATTATACATATATGTTCATATATGCATAAAAGAGAATCTGAAAGTATATATACATCAAACCTTTGGTGGTGGTGAATAAAAGATAGGCCATGAGGAATTTTCACTTTCTAAATTTCTGTGGGTATATAGAAGGAGCACACCTTATCTTTATAATTAGAACAAACAAAACATACTCATTTCTGCAAGGAAAAGCAGCCAACCACACAAGGCACAGCCACTATCGTTGCAAGAGGGTGCACTGCAAGAGGGAACAAACTCACACCTGTGACAAGTTTGATAAATAGGCTGCATAAACAAATACCACAGGAAGACAGAGAGAAAGGAGGTTAGAACTCTTTACACTACAACATGTACTACTCAAAAATACCTACTGCATTTATATTCAGATTATGCATCAAAATGAGGTAGTCAAATACAACAGAATTATGAGTAGAACTTACAGATTGATGCTTGCAACAAAGCCAACCACAGAACGCATGCCTCTGCTGGGGTCATGGTAAACATCCATCCCAATCACCATTAACTGTTTCTAGGTTAGAAAACAAAAACAGCAAATCCAAAATTCAAGCCATTCATCACTCCAACTTTAAATATCATCTGAGCGCTTGTTTTCCCAGCACATATACTAAAATTATCATCTGAGACCCAAAGCAACCTCCCCCTGGTGTTAATAAATGAAAATAGGTTCTGGGGGAAGAAAGACTGGTATCAACTTGACACAATGAACAAAGACAGAGAGCTAGACCAGGAATCACCAAATGTTTTCTTTGAAAAGATTAGAGTAAATATGCTGAGCTCTGTAAATCAGTTTCTGAAGGAAGTATTCAATTCTGCCTTTATACACCAAAAACAGATATACACTGTATAAATGAGTGTGGCTGTGCTCCAATGAAGCCGTATGAAAGACACTGAAAGGTGGATTTCATGTAATTTTCACATGTGATGAAATAGCGGTCTTTTTTTTTTTCCTCCCATTTTAAAATGTAAAGCCATTCCTAGCTCATTCCTGTCCAAAAACAACCAATTAGAAACAAAGCTTGTATACATAAGCGGGAGGGGATGGGGAAAGAAAAGGAAAAGCTACATATATCATGTACTGGCAGAAATTCCTTATGATGAATGTTATCATTATGTATATCTAAAATGTACCAATAAATGGTACATCTAAAAAGTTATTTTTAAAAACAGCCAGTGAGACTTTCAAGTAAGCACTGGGAACAGAAACAACTACAGAAACAGTCAGGCAGGATTCTCTCAAGAGCCAAACTGAGCACATATCTCAGCATCACTCACCAGAGGAATATCTACTCCCCAGAGCTCCCCTCCCAATTTACAGTTAATTTGAAGCAAAATTTTCTGAGCCACACTCCGAAGCCTGGCGGGCTGACCAATGGTTCGAACATTGATGACCTATAATGACAGGACCAAAACATATAAAGAAAGGCAAGACATCCTCAACCTTTCAGAAACTACAAACAATTCTAAAGTAAATACAGTAGTCCTTTGGATCCAGGCTCCCTCCACTTCCGGATAACATTCTTGAACAATGCAAAAGACACTTATATACAGTGGTACAGCATTTGCATATAGCCTGTACTGCTGTATACTTTAATACCTAATACAGTATAACTGCTTTCAAATACTTGTTAATATTGTTTAGGTAATAACACAAAAAAAAGTCTGTGTTTAGTACAGATGTAATTTTTTTCCTCAATATTTAAGATATGTGATTAGTGAATCTGCTGATACAGAACCCACAGATTGTACTACATTTGTTTAAAAAATTCAAGTTAGCAGTTATGCTTTGCATTAGTAATTCTAATGTTAGGGCCATTATGTATGTATGCACACACCACACACACACACACACACACACACACACACACACACACAAATCCTACAGATAAAAATCAACAAATGAAAACTAAAATGTCTCATGCAGAGTAGAATTATTTTAATCCCCTGAAAAAATAGCTTTCCCTTTTCAGAGTGAAGTCTACACTCTCAGAGCTTAGTCATTAGAAACCACCTGGCAGCTCAATTGCTCACTGGGACAGCGAGACACTTTGGAAGAGGTACGAACCTACTACTACTTGCCAGGCTACTCTGACTGGGGACCTTTTCCCACAAGGCACTCCACATACTGGCTTCTAACAGCTACTTTAGTCTTAATATATGTACCCCTCCTCCCAAGCATCAGGGAGCCCCACCCCACTTACCTGTGAGGGCACTGGGGATTGCACACAACACAGCTTCTTGATGGCCCCATAGAGATCATCACGTGTGCCTGTGATGATGCAAACAACCACCTGTATCTTCCCCTTGAAGAGACAAAATAAATACAGTCAGTTTTCAAAACTATCAAGGGGCTTTCAGGGGAATGAGTCTGCAAAACCACAGGGTCTATGAGGGTAGACAGGGAATTAAAAGAAAGAGTGGCTATTCCAATCAGAAAAAGGCCTGAATCTGAATGCATATTTGTTTGGCTCAGGGCTGTTCCACGGGAATAGGTATTATGTTACTATCACCTACATAGAGCTGGGCTTGACTACCAAGGATTTATTTACTAGGAGAATTTAGATCCTAAATGAGAACCAAGGCCTGTCATGGAAAGGTACAAGATCCCAATAAAGAATGTAACTGTACTGTATACCTAAAATGTACCAATAAGCTCAATGAGGAAAAAAAAAATTTAGATCCTAAAAAAAAAAACCAGGCTTGAAAATATGCAAGGATTACATTACTTGATGATTTCAATACTCTTGTCATGTTGCATACCACTATTAGTTAACTAAGCAATTTATCACCTTCATCCCATGGAACTTTAGCTGAGGAAACGTGGAATATAATACTGTAAGTGGTTCAGAGCCAAATGCAGAAGGAATGAAGCTATTGCTAAATCCACAGTAGCCATTCTTACTCTGGTTAGGGACAGGATGTCTGACAGGACTGGCAGCATCTTCCATTGCTGAAGACAGAGGATCTTTCAAAATCTGCAGCACTCAACCCTTTATGCCAGATACTGCCATACATGGTAAATTTTTACCATTCTGCTCCTAATCAAGGCTGACACTAACACTCCTCAGAAAGCAATGTTCCAGTGATTACATCAGAGAATTTCTAAAGTCAAGTTGAACCTAAGCTTCCTACTGGGACCAAGTAGGCTGGACAGAGCAAATTATCTTCAGTTCCAACAATGATTAATAAGTTTATTTTTTGGCTTTTTTGAAGCAGGATCTCGCTATGTAGTCCAGACTGGCCTTGAACTTGCAACTAACCTCCTGTCTCAGCTTCCCACGTGCTGGGATTACAGACAAGCACCAATGCACTGTTTGCAAATTTGTTTTTAAATTAGCATTGAAACAAAGGGAAGTATATACATATGCAAATCCACGTTGTAGGCTTCCAATGAAAATGAATAAATTAAAAATCAATTTGTGCTGGGTGTGGTGGCACACACCTGTAATCCCAGCACTCGGGAAGCTGAGGCAGGAGGATCACTGTGAGTTCAAGACCAACCTGGGCTACACACTGAGTTCCAGATCAGTCTCAACTACATAGTGAGACCTTGTCTCAAAAAACGAAAAAAAAAAAAAAAAAAAACCAATTTGGCAGCTGGAAGTTATGGTTCAGAACTAGAATGTCTCCCAAACTCTCATGGGTTCAAACTGGGGAAGAGGGCTTTTGGAAGTGACTGATCATGGACAGCACACTCATCAATGGATTACTGCACTGATGAGTTCAGAACTGAATGTTCTGTAAGGAGATGGGGTTTGGTTGGAATAAACAAGTCACTAGGGTTTGACCAAAGTGTGTATGTACTCTTTTCTTTTGAAGAAAAACATTTATTGCTACATTTCAGATATACATAATGATGACATTCATTATGGGGAATTTGTACCCGTACATGACATATCTAGCTTTTTCCCCCATTCCTCTCCTCTTTCACTCCTTTCCCTCATTTACAAAAATTTTGTTTCCATTTTTCATTCTATTTTTTTTCTTCACCCTTCTCTCCTTTCCACTGACCCCTTCCCTTGTTCTCCTTCTCGTTTGAACACTTTCTTCCCATTCCCCAATATTATTACACATTCTGGTCTTTATTTCCACTTTGTTTCTCACACTAGAGAAAATAATGTGGTATTTAAACATGTGTGTCCAATTTATTTCACTTAAGAGTATGAACTCAAGGTGCATCCGTTTAGCTAGAAATGTCTCAAGCTTATCTTTCTTTATGGCAGAGCTCCACTGTATAAAAAAAAAAAAAAAAGCAACATTTTTATCCACTCATGATTTGATGGGCATTTGGGCTGTTTCCAATATTTAGCTATTACTAACTGTGCCTCTATAAATATGGGTGTGCATATATCCTTATGGTATGATGTTTTTAATTCTTCAGGAAGATACCAAAATGGGAAATAGCTAGGTGAAATGGAACTTCTAGTTTGTTTTCTGAGGAATCTTCACACTGATTTCCACAGTGGCTGCACTAGTCTATACTCCCACCAACAGTGTGAACAGAGTTCCTTTATCCCCCACAGGCCCACCAGCATTATTGGTTGATTTCTGGGTAACAGCCATTCCTTTATGGAGTGAGATGGAATCTCAGCATTGTTTTAACTTGCATCTCTCAAATGACCAGTGATGTTGAACATTTTCATGTATTTATTTGCATTTCTACTTCATTATCTGAGGAGTGTTTATTCTTTTCAGATGCCCATTTTTGGACTGGGTCTTTAAATTTTGGGGTGGTCTGATGTTTTTAAATTCTTTACATATTCTAGATATTATTCCTTTGTCTGAGGATCAGCTGGAAAAATTTTTTCCATACTGTGTGTTGCCTCCTTACTCTGTTGGTAGTTTCTTTTGCTGTTCAAAAGATTAATAAGAAAAGATCCCACTTGTTGATTCTTTGTAATATTTCCTGTGCCATTGGGGTTTTGTTCATAAAGTCTTTGCCTGCACCAGTGTCTTCAACAGTTCTACCTATTCTCTTTTCCAGCAGACTTAGTGTTTCTGCTTTAATATTTAGATCTTTGATCCACTTCCATTTTAGTTTAGTGCATGGTGAAAGATGGCATCTAGTTTTAATTTCAGTATGTGGAGAGCCAGTTTTTCCAGCACCATTTATTAAAGAGGCCATCTTTATTCCAGTGAAGATGTTTAGCTCCTTTATCAAAGATACGGTGCCTGAGTATGTTTGTAGTTGCTTCTGCATCTTCCAATCTGGTCCACTGATCCTTCAGTCTGTTTTTTTGTTTTGTTTTGTTTTTTTTCTTGTACCAGGTACCAAACTCAGGACCTTGTCCTTGACAGGCAGGAGAGGTGCTTTTTTGTTTTTCTGGTATCCAGGATCAAACTCGGGACTTGCAAGGCAGGCAGTGGAACCATTAAGCTAAATCCATGGCCCTGAAGTGCTTTTGTTTTTGTTTTGTTCCATGCTGTTTTTATCACACTAATTTTGTAGTATTAAGTTCAAATCAAGGATTGTGATGCCCCCTGCCTTGCCTTTGTTGTCCAGAATTGCTTTTGCTATTCTAGGTCTCTTTTGGTTCCAAATGACTTTCAGGGTTTTCTCTAATTCTGAGATTTGCTATTGGAATTTTTATTGTGATTGCATTAAATGTGCCTAACAATTTTGGAAGTATGGCCATTTTTACCATATCAGTTCCTCCTACCCAAGAACAAGGGATAGCTTTCTGCTATCTTCTTTGATTTTTTTTTTTTTTTTTTTTTGTTAATTTTTAGAGATTAGAACGGAATTTGCTTTCTTCTTATTTTTTTTTTTTTTTTTTTGGTACCAGGGATTGAACTTCGGTCCTTGCACTTGCATGGCAGGCCACAGAACCGCTGAGCTAAATCCCCAGCCCTGATCTCCTTTTTTTAGAGTACTATAGTTTTCCATGCAAAGGTTTTTTACCTCCGTTAGATTGATACCTAGGTATTTCATTTTTTTTGGATGCTATTGTGAAAGGTGTGGTTTTCTTAATTTCTCTCTGTGAGTTTATTTATATACAGTAAGGCTATTGATTTCTAAATGCTGACTTTGTGTCCAGCTATACCATTGAATTTGGTTATTAAATCCATAAATCTTTTGGTGGAGTTTTTGTGGTCTTCTGTGCAGAGTTTCATGTCATCTGCAAATACTGTATTGATAATTTAACTTCTTCCTTTCCTGTCCTTATTCCTTTTCTTTCTTTCTCTTGTCTTATTGCTCTGGCTAATGTTTCCAGAACTGTATTGAATAAGAGTAGTAATAATGGACATCTTTGTCTTATTCCTGATTTTAGAGTGAAAGCTTTCAGTTTTTGTCCCTTCACTGTGATGTTGGCTGTTGGTGTGTAATAGCTAGCTTTTATCAGATTGAGATAAAGACTATCTATTCCAATTTTCTGTAATGGTTTTATCATGTGTGTGTGTTGGACTTTGTCAAATGCTTTTTCTGCATCTGTTGATATGATCATATGAATTTTGTCCTTGGCTGTTAATATGGTGTATTACATTTATTGATTTGCATATTTTGAACCATCCTGGGATGAATCCTACTTAGTCATGGTGTGTAATATTCTTAATGATTTACTGCATTCTGTTTGCCAGTATCTTTTTGAGGATTTTTGCATTCATTAGAGAGATAGGCCTGCAGTTCTTTTTTGTAGTTGGAGTTTTGTCCGATTTTGGTATCAGGATGATGTTTGTGTCCATGAATGAATGTGGGAGTATTGTGTCCCTTTCAATTTCATTAAAGTTTGAGAAGTAGCACTATTAGGTCTTCTCTAAATGTCCTGTAGAATTCAGCAGTGAATGTCAGGGCCTGGGCTTTTTTCTGTTGTTTTTAATTGCATCTTCAATTTCATTGACTGATATTGGTTTATTTAGAATTTTTGTATCTTCTTAATTCCACTCTGGTTAATTCACATATATCTAGAAGTCTGTCCATTTCTTCTGTGTTTTCCATCTTATTAGAATACAAGTTCTTAAAGTAAGTATTGATTGATTTTGTGGAATTCTGAAGGAACTGTTGTGATTTCCCCTTTTCATTTCTAATTGCATACGCTTGAGTCTTTTCTTTCCTTTTTTCAATAAGGTTGGCTAAGAGTTTGTCAATTTTATCTAATCTTTCAAAGAACTAACTCAATTCATTGATTCTCTGTATTAAGTCTCCATTGCATTAATTTCTGCTCTGATCTTTATAATTTCCTCCCTCATATGAGCTTTGACCCTTGACTTGCTCTTTTTCTAGAAGCTTAAAGTTCAACATTAGGTTATTTGAACTCGCTTTGCTTTTCTGTTATGAGAATTCACCACTATAAATTTCCCTTGTATAACTGTTTTCATCACATCCCTAAGTTCTGATATATGGTACTGGCATTATCCTTAAAGTGTAGAAACTGTCTAATTTCTTCTTAAATTTCATCTATGATCCTCTGGTTGTTCAGGGGAGTATTATTTAATTTCCACGTATTCATGAAATTTTCATGGTTCTTTCACCACTGATTTCCAATTTCATTGCACTATGGTCTGACAATATGTATGGGATAATTTCCCTTCCTTTGCATTTACTTAAGCATGTTCTGTGAGCTAGTATGTGGTCTGTTTTGGAGAATTGCTGTGTGCAGCTGAGAAGAATGCGTATTCTGATGTTGTGAGAAGGAAAACTCTGTAGACGTCTACTAAGTCCATTTGTTCAAAACTTTCATTAGGTTCTGATATTGATTTTTTTATCTAGTTGATCTATCTGTGACAGTGAGGTACTGAAGTCCCCCATTACAATTTTATTAGTGCTTATTAGATTTCTCAGGTCTGTTAATATTAGTTTTATATAATTAGGTGAGCTGGCATTTGGTGAGTATCTGTTTATGGTTGTCATTTCTTCCCCTTGGACTGTTCCCTTTACAAGGATGCAGGGACATTCTTCAAGTCTTGGCTTGAAATCCAATTTGTCTGCCATTAGAATAGCTACCCTTGCTTTTTCCTGGGTTCCTGTCTCATGGAGTATTGTTTTCCATCAACTTTTGTTTTTTGTTTTTTGGGTTTTTTTTTTTCAGCTTTTTTCTTTTCGAATTAAATGTTTTTCTTGTATGCAGCATATTGTTGGATCTTGCCTCTTGATCCATTCTGCCAGTCTGTTTCTTTTGATTGGTGAACTGAGATCACTTACATTGATGATCATGACTAATGTGCATTGACTTATCCTTGTCATGTTATTTTCTTTGTTGGCTCCCCATTCCCACCCACCCCCCATTTAATTGCTTGCCTGCCCTGGTAGATTCTGTTGGCATTCATGGAATTTTAATCTTTGCTATGTCTTTGTACAATGTCCTTCAGAACATTTTGGACTTACAGTTTGGTGGTCATGTATTTCTTCAAGTATTGTCCTGGAAGTATCTTATTTTTCCACCAGTTTTGAAAGATAAGTTTTCCAGGGTACATCAATCTGGGTTGGAGGTTGTTTTCTTTTCAGGCTTGAAATACTTCACTTCAAGCTCTCCTTGACTTGAAGGTTTGTGATAAGAAGTCTGCTGTGATTCTGATGGGCATTTCTTTTTTTTTTTTAAGGTATAATTAAAATTTTATTCTGAAATTATCTCTGGCCACAATAAAATTTAACAAATATTCACTAAACAGTCTTACTCCTGTCATCAGCTGTACAATATACACAGTATCACAGAATTGGCCACTAGGATTAAAATTCACTAGAACATTTTCCATGTTAAGTGGTGACAACAGCATCTCACAGAAATTTTCACATACATATATACACAGTCCACATTCAACCTTTTTCACATATTTTCAGTACACACAGTTGCAACATATAACAGTCACATGTCTAAGTTGTTGCTCGATAAAAACCCAAGCCACTGCCTAGACATAACTGTAGCAGTTGAGCTGAGTATAATTACAATTAATTTCATATATGTCCATAGCAGAGAGATGTACAAGGCCCTAAGAAACAGAGTTCACAAATACTTTTATAAACGCTACCACAGCATTGTGTCGGGCAATATTAAAACCTTTACGAACCAAATCAGTTTTTTAAAAATTCTTCTGCTTACCAGAAATTTTTTTTTTTTTTTTTTTTTTGGTACCAGGGGTTGAACTCGGGTCTTTGCACTTGCAAGGCAGGCCACCAAACCGCTGAGCTAAATCCCCAGCAACCTACCAGAAATATTCTTGATGGAAAAAAATTACAAAAATGAATGCTCTTTTTAAAATAATTCACTTTTATTTTAAAATTCCAATATGGACTTTTCTTTACAGGTGATTTTTTTTTCTCTCTAACAGCTTTTAAATATCTGTTCTTGTGTTGAATTGCTGGAATTTTAACTATTATGTGTCTTGGTGTAGATTTTTTTTTTTTTTAATAATAGCTAACTGGACTTCTATACACCTCACTTATCTGTTTGTCAAATTCTTTTCTCCCTGCTTGGGAAGTTTTCTGCCATTTGTTCTATGAACAAGTTTTTCATTGACTCTGTTCAATCTTAGATTATTATTCTTTGCATCATCTAGCAGCTGTTGAATTGTTTTGTTTTGTTTTGTTTTGGTACCAGGGATTGAACTTGGGGCCTTGAGCTTGCAAGGCAGGCGGCAGAACAACTAAGCTAAATCCCAAATCCCCAGGCCTTGGATTGGTTTTTTTCATCGTCCTTTTTTTTTTTTTTTTTTTTTACCAGGGGCCCACCTCAACAC